GGTTTACCAGGTTAGTTAAAAGCTTAGCAACAGCATTCACACCACATGCTAAGGTTATTTTTATATTTCGTGGACTAGCCTGATGTGAAACTCAGTCCATCTCATTAATCAGTGTATTGGGCAAACCTCCCAAAAGGGACTGGTTTCATAATCAGGCTAGGCACGTAGTATGAACAAAAAGAATAATTTTTGCAGCTCATGAGGGAATAATATACAAGCTCCCTCCCCTTTATTTAACAAGAGGATTGAGTAGATTTTGAAAGTTAAAAAAAAAAAAGGAATCTTGAAGCCATGTGCTGCAGAGCAATGAGAGTATTGGATTCCAAATTGCCTAAAAATAGCACCAAGAACAAGAGAAGTGTGACTTTCTGTACAAACTCCGTACTCATGCTTAGCACTCTGGAGTTACCCATGAGAGCTAGCATTTCCTTCTGCCAACCTGAGCCACATTTTCTCATAGCTCCATTGGTGTATTTTTAGTAAAAACCCGACAGAAACAAGATGGATCTTACAAAGCTAGCCTTTTGGCACAACTCTTTTGCCCACCCCTTGACAGTGAATTATATTAATGACACTGATCTTAATTTCCACATTTAAGTCTTGCCTTTGCTTTCAGCTGCACTGGTTTAGTTTATATTCTGTATTTTCTAAGTCATTGTGAGCCACCCAGAAAGTTAGTATAAACAGAAAGGTAGGATAGAAATTCAATATTAAATATTTTTAAATCTACTACATCATACAGGCTGTCAGGGCAGCCACAGATGGATGGAAGGATTTGACTACTTAAAACAGCACAGAGGCACCATTTGCTCTCTTGCTTTACCTGGCACTCCAAACCTGACATAGCAACCACACACTTGCTTGTTGGCTATGCTGGTTGAGCAGGCAACCACATTTCCTGTGAAGCCTGGAAAGGAGAAACTAGGGAGGTTTAAGCAGAGATATTTAATCGAAGAGTGATTAAGCTTTGTTCCCCACTAAAAAGATGAAGCTGTGTTCGGGCTCTACCCCACCTGACTGCAGAAGGAGAGGGAGGACCCTCTTGTTGGAAAAATCATCAGTGCAAATAGGATTAAACCCCCACATCTAGAAAATTGGTGAAGAGCAAGAGTAGGGGTTATTTGCCTATTTATTTTTGACACAACCAGCCTATCTGGGTGGAAATGTTGTACGCTGGAGGGCATCTTAGAAACATAAGCCGCCCCTGCTGTTGATACTGTATAATCTAGTGGACTGCAGTGGCCTTCTCCAATCTGGGACCCTGCAGATGGATGGAGCCAAAAAACTCTTGTCTACCCTAGGTAGCATTCCTGAAGGGTGGGGAGGATAGGAATTGTAGTCTAACACACGTGGAGGACACCAGTTTTGGGAGGGATGATCAATAGTCTGTATGTCTCCAGAATCCTCCAGCTATGGTTGATTTAACCACAATAGACTGGATAAGCCACAATGACCGGCTTTACCCCGTATCCTAAGCCACAGACAAGCCAGCCACACTTTGGCTTACCTTGTAATGTAAACTTGGATAGAGGTGACATTTCAGAAGCACAAGCTAATTGAACACCATAGTTGAAATCAGGAGCCTGCTCAGAACTGGGAATTGTAATCATTAGCTTAGCCCCTCACATTCTGTAATTATATTAATGGAAATGGATATATTTCAGGTGGGTGGGTGTGTTTTAGGAGAAAGTGTTGCCAACTTTCCTGCCCTTGTTCTTGGGTTCCTTACTATCTCCAGCATGGAGAAGCTGAGGAACTAAAGACTTTCTGAGCAAAACGAGAGTGTGCTCCGAAACGTGTCAGCTGATTAATTTCAGTAGGTTTGTCTGACACTGGAGGCACAATAGAGAGCCAGTTTGGTGTAGTGGTGAAAACCACCAGGCTAGAAACCAGGAGACCAGGAGTTCTAGTCCTACCTTGGACACAAAGCCAGCTGGGTGATTTTGGGCCAGTCCCTCTCTCTCAGCCCTGGGAAGGAGCAGGTAAGGGCAAGCCACTTCTGAAAAACCTAGCCAAGAAAACTGCAAGGACTAGTCAAGGCAGTTGCCAGGAGTCAACACTGACTTGGAAGCACCAAAAAAGGAAAAAAGAGGCACAACCAGTGGACCAGTGTTTCTCAACCTTGGCCACTTTAAGCTGTGTGGACTTCAACTCCCAGAATTCCCCAGCCAGCATGGGGGATGTCTGGCTGTGGGAATTTGGGGGGTGGAGTTCACAAATCTTTGAGTGGTCAAGGGTTGGGG